CATCACCCCCACCTGCTAATGCAACTGTGCTTATTTTAATACTGTGGTTCTGAGGAACTTGATTGAATGTGTGAGTGCATCAGTTTTGTTTGTATGAGATATATTTTCTAGTAAAAGACATTTATTTTAATAACAACAGCCTCGTTGTCCTTCTCTGGTAACCCTTGTGGGAACAGGACCTTGGTATAAACTGGCATAAAGCAATTCAGCTAACAGAGTCCATTTCACAATGTTCCTTTGAGCATACAAGTGATACTTTTAAGGAAAACTCTGAAGACTACATTCTGACTGCCACTAAGTGTCAGTGCTCCATTCCCTGGGACTTATGCTGGCAGATGACCATCTATTCATAAGATGGTACTACAGAAGTGTCTGGTGCCAGATGAATCTCTCAAGGAGAACAGCTATAACAATGGGAATGAAGAAATGCCTGCTTGAAATTGTAACTGGAAGTCAAAAATAGAGTCACTGAACCATTACTATTCAGGCTAACTTATACTAACTAATAAGGCAAGGCCTATAGAAATTACAAACATTCTACATAACATACCAGACTGACATTAAATTTTATGACATAAGCAGCAAGGAAACTCACAAAAATGGTTCAGAAAGAGAAAAGGTGGCAATAGGAAACAGAAGTGAACTGAGGTTTAATCAAGAGCAGTGTAGCAATGCTGCCAAAAACAAAGTGGCAAATAAAAGGACAGGGCAACAAAGTTTTTTAAAGCAATAACATGAATGAGATCCAATAAAGAAATGGGAACCAATGAAGCAAATGAAAAAAATGGAGGAAAAGGGTACAAAGAAAACAGAAAAGGCAGCATAGTTAAATAGAATACCCTCTCACCCCCTGCAAACTGGAAGACAAAGAATTGCAATAGTCCACTCCAGAGAGCATGAGAGAATAAACTCAAAGCACAAAACTTGAGTGATAGTTAGAAGTTGGAAGTGGCACATTTTTAATAAGGAAAAAAGAAAAAGAGATGAGTCAAAGAAAACAACATGGGAAGGAGAAAAAACGGAAGCACTTCTTATCAGTCCACAGAAGGCTACAATACCTGGCCACAATGTCACATATGGCGAGGATAATTTCACTGCCTGCTAGAGACTGTTCATTCATGGTAAGCCACATTTGCAGTTCCCATCAACCAGAAGAGCCATATGATGACTGCGTATCCTGCCACTGTAACGTGCACTATCGAAATATACATTTAATATTAATAACTAATAACTATACCCTTTTTAATTACCAGAGCACCTCTGAGCATGTAGGATTTTCTCTCAGCTGCTGAGCCCTAGCCAGGCTTTGTGAGCTGGAGTGAGGGGAAGGGCTTCATGATACAAAGCAGTGTGCAAACTTTCAAGTCCTTCAGAACTTTTATCAGGCTGGATGTTTTAAAAAAATGCTTCCCGGTTACTAAGTTTTCTCCTTGCAAGGGGCTTTGTTTTATAGGGTGGCTTTCAACAGTGGTATACACCATTCCACCACGTCTCTGAGATATATATTTTGACCCAGCCTCATACAGGGAACTCCTACACCTCCATAACTTTGATATAATCCATCAGGTACAAACTGTGCTGTGTTCTAAAAATAAATCTGTTAGTTTTCTATGGGACCCATATAAATAAGAAAATTAGCCCCATTTCTAAAGAGCTGCTCCTACCTTTTCCTTCCCCCTTCTTCACCCTGGATAGGGCCAGATAGCTTGAGAGGCCACCAAATTAATGTCCCCACTCCACCCAGTCCAGGGACTGTAAAGACAGTGTTCTCCTATGCATGTTTCAGTCCCACTTGGTTCACTAGGACTTAGTTTCAGGTACACAAGCACAGGACTGAGACAAAGCTATGCTATTTACAAATGTGTGGTGGTTGAGAAGACGTCTGCAGCTCACAGCACTAGAAGTTAAGTGCCCAGCAGACTCTGCAAGGGAAGGACAGGCAAAGCACCTGCACTCTCTCTGCAGAACCTGCTCACTTAGATCTGGCCAGCAGCTGTAGAAGCCTACATAAGAACTTAAGAACATAAGAGAAGCCAATTTTGGATCAGGCCAATGGCCCATCCAGTCCAAGACTGTCACACAGTGGCCAAAAATACCAGGTGCCATCAGGAGGTCCACCAGTGGGGCCAGGACCCCCTGATAAGCCTCATGTATCTCATGCTGAGAAAAGAGCAAGAAGTCCGAGATGAATGTATACGGCATTTAGGTTTCCAATTGCAGGAGCCTTATCAGGTCAGGCTATAACCTTTCTCAAGGAGGGTTCCAACCCAGCACTGGCTGGCTTGCTCAGAGTAGACTCCTGCAGTGAGACACCTAATCTCTTTACTTCCCTCTATCTTCTTGCTCATCCGCAGGTATAAGGCTAGCAGCTCAGGTTGAACAGAGATGGCCATGGCTATGCTGTCGTGCCGGGGAAAGAAAAAGGTTCTGGGCGTATTTCTCATCTGATGGAGAACTAAGAGCTAAGTCAGCAGCAGAAAGGAAGTCTCTCTCCTACACCTGGCTATTTTGTATGACCAATTCACTTTAAGAAGTGGGCTCATTCACACAAGACATGTGTCTGACTTGCATGTAGGCCGCACACCATCATAGCACACATTGGCAAAACTGCATTTGCATCCATGTAACACATGGAATTGTCCTCCAATAAGGCTGGAGCACTCTTGCTAAAATGACTGGTCCTAGAAAATGGGTTGTAACCAAAGAACAGACCCTGATCTAACGGGCATTTGGAGGAGTCTCAACAGATATGTTTGCACTAAACAGAAAAGTGACTTCAAAACATCAAGTATCCTGTGATGTAGACTAGAAATAAAGATACAGCCATTAAAACTTGTACAGCCACAGAATAATTGCTCATCCCTTAGGACACTTAGGTCTAGCAACACAATTCTACAACTCTTCCACATCCATGTTCAAATTACAACGAATTTACTAAACTGGAGTGAGGAAAGAGAACCAAGGGTAAGGACCAAATGTGAGTAAACACCATTAAAATAACCATTAAAGAGTCATGATGGACCAACTAATATATCTTCTCTTCCTACTGTATGCATCAAGTGAAAGCATATTATTCACTGTCCACATGGTAGACTAGACAGGCTAGGCTCTTTAAACCACCATGAAAACAGATTAGCTTTCCGGCAAAAACACACACACAAAGACCCCTCACTAACTTTTACACTGTACAGTTACTATGGAGACTGCTTTAAAGCTGCTTCTAAGCTGCCTGTCAGAAAAGCCTACTGTATTTTTTTTACAAAATTCACTAGCCTATCCTTTTGTTTATAAAAAGGAAATTTGTATACCTAGATAACAGGAAATTGCTTGTCATCTCATGTTAACAGAGTCCCCTGTGGCTGAAATATTCCCCACATTTTGAAGAGAGGTGTTTTTTTAATTAGATTTCTTACATTGTGGCAGTAGATTTCTTACATTGTGGCAACTTATTAGATTTCTTGCATTGTGTATATATCTATACAACCTACATTGTTTTTACTTTGGAGGACTAAGTGAGGTCAGACTAGAAGAAAGACAAGAAGAAGAGGCAACTCATTTCCCACTGGCCTATACAGTGGTTCTTGAAGCTACACATGAGGTACAATTAAATATGAGGACACAGTAGAAATCTGATAATTGGTATGTTACTGTGCTTACAGGGAAACATCAACAAGTTGTCCAGCTTGTTTTTCTGTCAATGTTGCTTCGAATCATGATGTAAGCAAAGTATAGCCACGGAGGTTAAAATAACTGTAGTTTTCAGATAACTTATTAGGTCAACTAATCTGCATTTTCTTGACAGTTCTTAGCTCAGGCTTCCTAACCAGCATCAGCAAAGTGAGCGTTGAGACCAAAGTGAATGAATGGTTCACCAGACCTAACTGTCGGAACACTCTGCATTGAATGGGAGGTTTCAAACAATGCTCTCCAAAAGCTGTCAGATATGAGTTTGTGTTGCACAGAATTGCAGAAGACACTTCAGTGGGGAACCACCACACTGCTAGCAATACTGCATCCAATTATATGAGCATTTCCTTTGTCCCCCCCCCCCATTCCTTCCAAGTTGTTCAAACAGCAAAAATAAATAAATAAAAACTTAGTGGAAGGACTGTGTACAGAAAACTTTCAAATACCACAACCGATATTACAGAAGACACAGTCAAACAAATCTACATAATGAAACAGATTGAGGATGCTGTTTATCTACTTTCCCCTATTTTATTGTGCTTAGCAGTCCATTCATTTATTTGTTTAAAATTATTTAAATCCTACCTTTCTGTACTGCCTAAGGCAGTTTAAAATATAAACAATGCACAATTAAAATACAGTTAAGACACATAAAATAATTTATATCGAGTTAACTGAAACTCCTGCAACATATACCACCACCAGCTGCCGAACAGAGACATTCATTAATTACTTCCACACCAAAGTTGCATTGAAATAATTCTGCGTTGGACGGTGCTTTCTGTACCACATCTGGCCATCTATTCCAAAGCATGGATACAACCTCTGAAAACAAGCATGCATGGGAACCAGAGGAGTGGACCTCACAAAGAGAGAAGACTACCAAAAATGAGTCACTTGATGTGAAAGCACCTTCTATTGTACCAGAAAACGAACAGTAACCAGTCAAGTTGCTGAAGCACAGATATAATATGATCACACCCAGCATAAACCAGTCAATTATCTAGTGACCAGTTCTGTGCCAATTTTACAGTAGCAAACACACAATTTTTATACATTTCTTATTGAGCATACTCCCCACCCACCCATCTCTTAGGTGGTTTATCATTTTCACGACAGGCCCCTGGACTGAAATGATATACAAGTGTCTTAAACACTATCACTAAAGACTTTTTATTTTTAAAAAGCTAAAGGCCTGAATAAAAACAGCTGCTGAGAACAAGTGAATGGTCACTGTGGACCAAAAGTTAAGAGCAGATGCCTTCAGACTTTCTACTAATTTACAAGATAGGTAAAACAAAAACAGAGCTTACCAGTTTTCTCTGACACATCAGATGCTGGAGTGCCTGGCCTGCTACTGTGATCAGTAACATCATCGTCTTCCCTACTGGCAGTAACATCATTGTCTTCTACAGCAGAAGGAAGTGGAGTATCTTCATTAACATCATCTAAAGAAGCAGAAGTAGCATCCACCTCCTCACTTGTGGGAAGGCTGGAAGAAGGAGCATCTTCTTCCTCAGTTGTAGCCTTCTTTTCAAATCGAAAACGGTCAAGATTAAACAAACTCATGATCTTGGCCTTTCAGGTCTACCAGTTTATGGAGTTCAGCTTTACAGTCCCTGTGGATGGTAGCACCATACAAACCAAGAAGATCTGTAGAAATATCAAAGGGCAAGAGAGGGAGAAGACATTGGACAAAGCCATAGAATATAAGGCTCTTAGGTCTGGATGCTCTAACAGCATATGATTCTGTAGAATACCCAGCTCAGATCTTTCTGTGTCTACCATTTATATCCTAATCAATGCTAGTATATTTGCAGCTTTCCTTGGCAATCACTGCTTTCCTTAGCTTGATACTAGAAAGAACTAGGTGATGATGCTAATCGTTCTCCCTTGAAAACCATGAGATAATGGTTCAAGTAGTTCTTTTTAGTTTTCCCAAAGTTGATGGCTACTTGTCACATCAAGTTCCTACTTATGAAGTATCACATTTCCCCCTCCTCATCCTTCTATATGAAATGTATATGAAGAAACTGGGCACAATCAGTAGCTTGATGACATAAGTGTCTACGTTTTTCACTATGCAAGTTCTGCTAGTTCAGTGTCTGGCTATAAGGGAGCAAAGGAAGGCAAGCCAACTGAAGAGGTATCCAAACAAATCTAAGCAGGCCACTGCTGTTCGGCCTGGCGACCCAAAGGGAATAGGGACCCCATTAGACATTCTCAAACTTGCTATATCACGCAAGTTTGTAGTAGTTCTGGCAGCTGAACCTGGAAACCTCAAGGTACTGAAGTGGCAAGAACTATAGCTGCAACTTTTTGGTTTGGAGCCAGATCTAGTAACAACTACTTACATTAATGTAATCAAAATGATGCACTGCATCCTACCAAAAGCTATTTAGGTAACTATTTGGAGGCTTCAGCTACTGCAGAATACAATGGGATGCTGTGTAACATGGGAGACGGGAGTCACAAGTAGCACAATTCACTCATATTCGGGCATCTTCACTGGCTAATACTACTCACGCATAACTGGAAGTTGCTAGTTTAAAATGTCTTCAACTGTAAACACCATGAGGAATTTCAGACAGACGATATAATCCGGAAGAGGAACTGTTCCCAAACGGTTTCTGGTCTGTCATTTCAGACAGAACTGTTTTAGAACCGGTTCCCTACCGGAATATATTTGTAATTTCAGACACAAACGCTTCTGTCCCATTTAAGAAACGGGGCTGAAGCGTTTTACCTGTCAACCACTTCCAAGTAGTCTTCAGTTTCCTGTCCCGGTTCCGATGCGCTTTTCCCCCACCGTTTTTCGCCCGCGCGGGCGATCTCCGGCTTTTTTTTTAACGTTCACTTTATAGCGCTATGAACAGCAGTATATCAACGCCATTGGAATGCCTGGAGCGTTTTGTTATAGTGCTATAGCACTATAAAGCAAATGTTAAAAAAAAAAGCTGTAGATCACCCACACAGGCGTAAAACGTTACAGTCTGAAATGGCAAACCGCTTCAGATCCAGCTCTTTACCGGAAGGGGAAAGCCATGTGTGAAATGGCAGCCCTATACCGGTTTAGCCCTATACATGACGGATCAAAAACGGCTTCAAAACGGGTTATGTGAAATTCCTCCTTAACAACCATTTATCACCATATTATATGTCAAAACAATAATATCATCTTGACTGTACTATAACATCCCATCACTACACTAATTCTGTATTATAAGAGAACGTAGAAACTCATCTTTGGTGACAGCTCTACAACTACAGGACTTCACTCGATCCCAAGCCTAAACATTTTCAAAGGACAAAAAAGCAGAGACCTTTTAGTTTTAGCATCTGCTGCATTTCAAAACTGTACTTTTAGTATATTTACATGCTCACATGTATGTTTCCGTGTTCAATCAGGAAAGAAAACCAGACACAAGACACAAATAAACCCAAAGAAAAGCCAGATAAGTGTCTGCACAGATCCATTATTTCCAGCATTATGTTTACAACCAAAACACAGGTAGCTTGCTAGGCAGAGTCACAGCAGAAAGCATACAAAACAGAAACCACAAAGACAGCACATGAGTCCCTTAATTAAAAAAAACATTCTTTCTCTGCATTCCCTTATTTTTCTCCCATAACTAAGCCTGCCATAATCACCACCAAGCCTTGAAGGCTTACCTTCAAAATAGTCCCCACACCATGGACCACATCCACTAACTTCTTCAGAACTGTATTTATTTACTTCATTTATAGACCAGCCTCCTCACTGAGGCTCAAGGCACACAAATAAACATAATGTAATAAGTGCAGTATAATCACACAATGGTCCCCCCACTTACTGAACCTCCAGGCAGCCACAGAGCCGCTTGCCTAGCCTCTTCCAGCTGTTAAATGTATCATCGCCTTCCTTCTTTCCTCCCCTCCCAACGACCCAGGCAGGCCCTACTCTCGGCTCCCCACAAGTTCTTCTACACAAAGAGAAGACAGCTTTAAAAACAACAACCACAATAACAACAACACAAAGAGATTTATTTGTAGTTCAAGCAGTGGCGGACCAGAGCCCCACTTGCACGATGAGAGCACTTGGGAGGGACGCCTGGGACAAAAACTGCGCTCTGTGTATGGTTTTTTTCTGCCGCAATCATTCTTTTTTAAAGGAGATGCTGGGAATGACCCTTGCCTCTGCCGCCACAAATGAGCAGGGCTCCTCTCCTCCTCCTCCCTCCACCCCTCGACTGCTTCTGCTCATGCACAGTCCGCCGGCTGCTGTTCCCCACGGCTGTAGCAAAGCCGTCTGCGGAGAAAATGCAGACAAAGGAGAGCGGGGGATGGGGCACCGGCGCAGAGCGGAGCCTCCCCCGCGCCGCGCCTCCCCCTCCCTCGCCCCCTTCCCTTCCCCGCCTCCTGGTTCCTTCTTACCCCGCCCCCACTGCTAGGAAGCTCCCGAGACCCTCGAGAGTGCCGACACCGGCCAGCGGTGACTGTGGCGGCCAAACGAGGCGTGCACCGCGGCGGGGGAGGGGAGACCGGCGATGACGTCACCAGCTGCGACAATGGCCACGGCTGTGGCAAGGACGGAGGCGAGCCCCTCACTGGCTGTCTCCGGGCTGAAAGACACGGCGATGGCGAAGTCGGAACGATCAAATGCAGCAGGAAAGAGAGAGAGAGAGAGAGAGAAATCGTCCTGGCGGGATGTGGACCGAAAAGGGGGCGCTCAATGATGACTTCACTGTTTCCCAGTATCCCTTTCTTCCCGGCGTAAAGTCGAGGGAAAAGAGGAGGGAAAAGCGTTCTGTTGCTATGTGGGCTCGAAGAGCTGGCCAGGAGCGAGCGAAGAAGGGGGAGTGCGCGCATGCTCCCTTAAACACACCACCGTGCCCGCGCGAACGACCAGACGATTGGACTAGGTTTTGCCCATCAGCGGGCGCACGCGGATAGAGCGCGCGCTATTGATTGCCATGGCCTTAAGCGTGGCTTGTACTGCTGTGTGAAATGTGCCCAGTCAGTCGGGGTGGGGGAGCGTGGTTTATTTCTGTTAACTAGTAGGGAGCAGCAAGAGAGTTCCTCCCACCTTTCTAGTATTATGTTTTATTCTGATCTATGGTCCTAATAAATTTCTGAGTCTATTAGTGTGTATCTGTGTATATACTCAGTGCTTTTTTTGTAAGAAAACAAAAAAAAGTGCTGCGGTGGCTCAAGTGGTTAAGACGCTGAACTGCAGGCTGTGGAAGGTCAGTAGTTCAGCAGTTCGAGACCCAGGTGCCGCAAGACGGAGTGAGCTCCTGTCTCTAGTTCCAGCTCCTGCCAACCTAGCAGTTTGAAAGCAAGAAATTGCAAGTAGATAAATAGGTACCACTTCGGTGGGAAGGTAACAGCGTTCCGTGCGCCTTGGTGTTTAGTCATCCACGGAAACGTCTTCGGACAGCGCTGGCTCTTCGGCTTTGAAACGGAGATGAGCACCGCAACCCTAGAGTCGGTTTCAACTGGCTTTCGAGCAAGGGAACCTTTACCTTTACCTTTTTACTCACCTAGGGTACCAGGTGTCCTCTTTATAGAGAACATGTGTCCCCTTTTTTGTGTGTGTCTGTCCTCTTTTGGACTTTTTGGATGATTGTGACGTGATTCTGAGGGTAAAGAATGTTCGCAAATTTGAAGAAGCTGTCAAGAACAAAGCCGTAATTGTGGGATGTTCAGCACACATTCTGAATAACTGTGTTAATCAAGCAGCAGACCTGTTGGAGGTTGATGTTGGGAGCATTTTCATGTCTATACAGTTCAAATAGAGCAGTTAAAGGAATACTGTGAATTTGTAGACATTGGCCAATTATGCATGGGTGTTTTGCCTCGCTTTTACCGTGCATGTCTGTCAGCTTTTCTTTTTCGTTCTGCATTGATCGTCCTCCCTTCAGCGCTCAGTTCGCTTTCTGATCACTGTTTCTCCAGGTTTGCTGAGAGCGATTTTGTGCCGATTTCCCCCTTGTTTTGCTTCCAAGCCCAAGGTAATTCAAAAGTGTACAGATTCCCTTAGACCCTTGGACTCGTAGGGGCAAATTCCACCTCCCGCGTGTGATGTCTGATCGAAAGGTTTGGACATCACACGGGAGAGGTCATTCTGGTTCCCCCAGCTCTCGGGAGGGGCTCTTTAAAAAGTTATGGCCGCCGGCGCTGTTCTCGGCAGCAGCTGTGACCCCGCACGGGGGATGGGGAAGGAGGGGTGAAACGTTCCCTTGCCTCTCTGGTGACATTGGACTTGTTGGGACAAATTCCACCTCTCGCATGTGATGTCCGAGTGGTTGCCGCTCGGACAGTACACGCAAGAGGTCATTCTGGCTCCCCCAGCTCTCGGGAGGGGCTCTTTAAAAAGTTATGACTGCCGTCGCTGTTCTCGGA